ATTGATAAATCTCTGGCCCACCTTATGCAGCAGTTGGAGACATGTGACCATGTCTCCTACTGCTGCATCACTCCTCTCCTTCTATTGGCTCCACTTTATCAGGCTCAGCTCTCATGTCTCCATACTGCATTCATGAAATCCTAGGTGTAGCAAATGTCTCTCAGTAAAAACACACAGGTGTTGCCACATGTGTCTTATTCATCATTATAAACTAATATTTCTAGAGTGTGTGCCACTCAGTAGGCAAAATATATTCTTAGCTTGTTTCCCAAGAGACAAAACACACTTACATTTGCCAGCAGCAAATTTCTTGTTCCATCAAAACCCCAAATTCATGAGGGGTTACATTCCAAAGAGGTCTTGTGAATCTGGAACACAAGAGTTATGCAAAAATTATATCAACATTATTTTTTCTTGATTTGGGTTCACTTTGTGTGTCAGATCAAATCTCCTTGCATACTGCTCTAATCAGGATAATATTAACATTTATTGGAAAGAATGTTGATGAGGGACTCTTGATTCAAGGAATAGGATTTTTGCTCCCTTGGCTTGAGCTTGAATGTCTCCCATTCTCTCTGGCTAAATAAATTAGAAAGAATGTTCAGAAAGAGAGAGTTGACTGTGGAAAAATAACTGAGCAAATTTTCAACAAAATTCTGCACTAGATAGTTTTCAATTTAGGTGTTATGCACCAAATAGAAAAATGGTCACAGCAAAACAACTTGTAAATAATAAAATGTGTACACAAGATGCCCTGCATAAAAAAATTGTACTGTGTAATTGAAAATTTTATGAATTATGAAGCTTGCAATTGCAAAGCGCATCAGATTATAAGGTTCAGCTCTACAGTGGCTGTTTTCTCAATATAAAATGTTAAAAATGTCAAAGTCATATATATGGAACATATTTTATTTTACAGCATAATAGTTTTTTTGATTGTAGGATAGGCTGGACAGTCAGTCTAGCCTTTCCTATATACAGCGGGTTAGATTCCAGGCTATCTCCGGAAAGCAGAACGCCATTTTTTCCATTTATAAATGCATATAAATGCCAGACAACAAGTTTACACTAAATTATATTAAGTTAGTAGTGGAACTAGGCATTAAAAACACAAAAAGTAAAATACATTCACAGTACATTCATTACTTATCTTAAAGAATTTGTAATCTTAATGTAGGGAAAGAGGTGAGTAGTACTTATTTGTAGGAAGTCAGGTGCAGGTAGCCCTGGCTCCCCATCTCATACTTAATATATGATATTTAAAACATCCCAGAGAGTTAAAATACACATACAGTACTCTCAATGTTTACCTTAAAATATGTGTAGTCTTAATGTAGGAAGAGAGGTGAGTAGTATTTATTTGTAGGAAGTCAGTGTAAGTAGCTGGTAGGTGTAGCCTGCCTGGGCTACACCTGCCAGCTACCTACATTGTGGCCCAGAGCCATATTATTAGCATCAACATACCTTGTTCACTGAATTTAATTATTTCAAACAACTACCTTTAGATGCCATCATAAACAAAGGGAAAAGTAATGAATAATTCATGCCGAAAATTGTAAACAAAAGGAGAGTGGGGAGTGGCTGGGCCAAGCGCAGATTCATACACGTTTTCTCTGGTGCCTGACTAGAGAAGACGTAATGTTATCCCTCTGCCTGGCTACCACACAGGTCCACAAGTATTATTATCAGAGCACATAAAATATGCAATAAATGCCAAACAACAAGTTTACACTTACTTATATTTAGTTAGCAATAGAAATAGGCAATAAAAGGTAAGATACACACAGAGTACACATATTACTTACCTTAAAATATTAATATTAATGTGTGAGAGGTAAGTGGCAGGGTGTTTATTGATTAAAATCAGAATGACACACCATCATCCTCTAGCTTGGCTCTTCAAGCAAGAGGCTTACGACTCCTCTTTTTATCGCAGCTAAGCTTAGATGCCATGATCAGTGAGAGCCAACTAGTTAACGAAAGAGTAAATGAGAGAGAGAACGAGATACAGAGTTCAGACAATGTAAGAACACAAATTGAACAAGTACAGGTCTCCTTCAACATTCGTGAGGGTTAGGGGATCAAGATACTTGCGAATATTGAAAAATCGCAAATATTTGGTGCCCCAAAATATTGTGGGGAAATATAATACAACACTGCTTCCTTAACTTGTTGACATGAACAATCATAAAATACATGAAAATGTCGTAAATTGTACTAAATATATACATGTTATGGTTTAATAACATGTATGTTATTAAATACCACTGCCTCCACCACTTCCTCAACCACTGCGAGTCCCTACTACCCTCCCTCCGACCCTGCAACTGGCAGCCAGCCCTCCCACCACTCAGTGTGGCGAGTGTTTTGTTTGTTCATTATTTACTATTAAACTACAGTATAAATAATGTAAACACATTCATGACTGCATATTGGAATGGCTATTTGGACAGGTATTGGATGGTGACATCATGTGTTTGCTCTTGAACACAGCAAAGAATCAAACATTTCTGCTACTGCTAATAATAACAATAGTAATAATAATAAATGTGATAGAATTGAAGAAGGAAATTGTACAAAAATACGAGGGAGTGGTTGACACATGGTCAGTGTGGCTTTGTTAATGCTGGAGTGAACATTAGTCTCCCTGCTCTTCCAAACATTTCACAATAATTCATTGTGTTTGGTGCTTGTAGATTGAGTGTGACTGGAGTGGTTAAGGAAGCGGTTGAGACAGTGGGCGAGGCAGCGGTTGAAGCAGTGGGTGAGGCAGCGGTTGAAGCAGTGGGTGAGGCAGCAGTTGAGGCACTGGTTGAGGCAGCGGTTGAGGCAATGGTGGAGGCAATGGTGGAGGCAGCAGTTGAGGCAGTGGTATTTAATAACATGTTATAAATACTAATAATACATAATATTAACATTTATTATTATTATTATTATTAACATGTATGTTACTAAATACCACTGCCTCAACCACTGCCTCACCCACTGCCTCAACCGCTTCCTCAACCACTCCAGTCACACTCATTCTACAAGCACCAAACACAATGAATTATTGTGAAATGTTTGGAAGAGCAGGGAGACTAATGTTCACTCCAGCATAAACAAAGCCACACTGACCATGTGTCAACCTCTCCCTCATATTTTTGTACAATTTCCTTCTTCAATTCTATCGCATTTATTATTATTATTATTATTATTATTATTATTATTATTACTATTGTTATTATTAGCAGTAGCAGAAATGTTTGATTCTTTGCTGTGTTCAAGAGTAAACACGTGATGTCACCATCCAATACCTGTCCAAATAGCCATTCCAATATGCAGTCATGAATGTGTTTACATTATTTATACTGTAGTTTAATAGCATATAATGAACAAACAAAACACTCGCCACACTGAGTGGTGGGAGGGCTGGCTGCCAGTTACGGGGTCGGAGGGAGGGTAGTAGGGACTCGCAGGTGGCGGGAAACTTAAATATGATTTGGCGGCTGGGAATTTGCGAATGTGTGAAGCCTGCGAAAGTTGAAAACGCGAATGTTGAGGGAGACCTGTAATGGGCAATCACTTTGTCAGGCAAAATAAATGTGTATTAATATGTGTCTGCTTTTAGTTCATTCACGTACATTTGTAACAGCTTGTAAAACTTTTACCTCACAATATTTTTTTTTTGTTATAATAATAATTATCTCACAATACAAATACTCTTACATTGTGTACAAGTTAGTTCAGAATAAACAAACAGCAACACTCCCATTCTCATGCAACATACCATTTTTAGAGTGAATGAAGATATTATTATCATTATCATAATAAAAAAGTGCTAAACCCACAAGGGTCGTGAATTACTATATATAGAGTGAAGGCATACAAAAGGAATATTTTTTTACAGGTATCCCCCAGTGTTTGACTAGAGAAAACATAATTCTTCCGACACTACCTACACAGCTGCTTTGTAAACAAATGTCATATTTACGTCAATTTTTATTCTGCGAGTGTATGTATCATGTTTATATGCTATGTAACGTGTTTCTTATATAATTTTGAGGAAAATATCATAGATGGATTAATGAAAATGTCTTTATTAATGTAAAATAAGACATTTAATGTGCCCAAGAGTGATGATTATTACGTACTATTGGCATCATGAGTATAGAGGCTCTTAGGGATTTTAATGTGTACCTGCACACCAGCAGTGTGCAAGTATACTTAAGTACAGGTACACATAAGTATAATTATCAGAGTATATATAAAATATGCAATAACTGTAAAACAATTGAAATTTTGGAAAGTTTTCAGACATAATAAATGTGGTCACGGAAAATGTAAACAAACCGGGTGGGACATGCCGTATTTGAAAGACCGCTAGCCGTATAGCAAATTTTGGTCATAATTTGACATCACTGTATTAGCGAAATGCCGTAAAGCGGTGCTACTGTATTTACCCACTACAGCAGTTGGAACTCATCCTCTTATGCTTTCTTGACAATGTAAATTTATATGTAATTTTTAGGTAATTTATAAGCTTTGGTATTATTTGGTAATTTGTCAAAATAAACATCTTTATCTTATTTTATATGTCAGTAATATTATGCATCAAACAGAAAACTGGGCATTTATCTTTTGCAAATGCCAAAAGGTGGGTATGGCCTTTATACTTAAGAAAATAAATAAAACTCCAAAGTCTTTCAGGGAAAACCAGTTAGACTTGAGTCCTGTAGGTGGGAAGTACAGTGTCTGCACTCTGAAGGAGGGGTGGAAATGTTGTAATTCAGTGCATCATCTGAATTGTGTTGTCAGCACACTTCTGGCAAGACAGTGCTTAAATGAATGACAGCAAATGTGTTTTCCCTTTTTCAGGTCACCCTACCTTGGTGGGAGATGGTTGATGCTAAATTTTTTTATAAATGTTATAAATTATTACCATGAATAATTTTCAGTATTATATAATTGTTTGAATGTAATTATATCTTATTAATTGTAACAATGCTCTCTGGTTTCAGGCAATAACTGCAGCTCTAGTAGGTGGAATACTCTTCTTCATAGTGGCTATCATATTATCCGTTTGCACAGTTAAAATATGTAACAAACACAAGAGGAGGAAGCAGGAGAAAGGTAAATCATATAGTTGTTGTTACATGTACTGTACACTGCTATACTGTATTAACTTGAAGTGTTACTGGGGTGTGACTCACAGGTTGTGATGCCAGATGCTTATCTCTAGTTGTAATCTTCTCATATATTTTCTCATTCTCAAGGTGATTCTTTGCTCATGGGATGTATTCCTGGAAAAAAAGGTTAAATATGAAAAGTATTCACTTTTCAAAATGAACAGATAACTGAGAAATATACTTTTTAATAAACTGTTTTTCTTGCAGTATTGATAAACAAGTCATATATGCTCATTAATTTGAACTAAGTATATTTTAGTATTATTATTATAATCAAAAAGAAGTGCTAAGCCTGAACTAAGTATAATAATTAGTATAGTGGTTTTTTTTATTATAGTGGTTCACTGGTTTCCAGAACTCATAGAGACCAGGAGATTTCTGTTTGTAATGTTGATCCATTAATACCGTCATTAACCCTTTCACTGTCGGTGTCATATTAGTACGGCTTACAAGCCAGTGTTGGTGCAGTATTAATACCCCAGAATTCTAGCAGCTTCAAATCTAGCGGGAGAAAGCGGGTAGACCTGCATGTGAGAGAATGGGCCTGCATGGTCATTGTGCATAGTATAAAAAAATCCTGCAGCATGCGGTGCATAATAATAATAAAAAATCAGACCATGTTTTTGGTTTCATATGGTATTTATGGTTGTATTCGTATTTCCTTGGTCTCATTGGATAGAATGGAAGATATATTACTGAAATACAGATGATTTGATTGGTTTCACAATGAAAACTACCTTGAAATTGAGCTCAAAATAGCAGATATGTTTGATTTTTGCCAATGTTTGATAGTAAACAAATGATGTCACCTTCCAATACATCTCCAACTAGCTAGTCTGACATGCAGTCACGAATGGGTTGACATTATTTATACAATTATTACAACTATGCAGTAGTCTGCATAGCAGTAAATCTATTTATTGTGTGAATAAAAATTCAAAATGGAAAGCAAGAGTAATATAAGAGGGGCCTGGAGACATGACTAATGAACAGAGAAAGGTGTTATTTTAGTGCCAGGAATGTCTGCATTGTTTATACTGGACCCTCTTTTGAAATTGGCCTCTTTTGAAATTTGTGTGAAATTGCCCAAATTGCCAATTTCTGACCACTTTATTGGGTAGTTGCAATCAGTAAGTGGGCGATTTCTTGTATGCAGTCGATAGAACAAATGGAGTTCTAGCAAAGTAACTGAGTTTAGTCGACTGGAACAATGGAATTGGCTAAAAATAGGGCTCAAATTGGGCTAAATCGCCGATGCGCATATTTTGCCAAGACCAACTTTACGAGAACGTAATTCCATAAGTTTTCCCTCAAATTTTGTGCTTTTGGAAAAAGATTTTTCTATCATTTCCTAAGATTTTTTTTTTTTTTTTTAAATTCTTTGACACAGAGAGCAAGTTTGTGAGCCGGGGTCTCGACAGTGAAAGGGTTAGCTACTATAAAGTGCATTGTCTCCCAAATACAGTCGGCTCCCTCTTATTGAACATTTGCAGAACATAATTCCAACTAACAACCAAGAAAATCTCAAACCTTCATCCACCAAACAACCTTTCCCACTAGGTATGATCTCATACCAGTCAGTGACTATCATTAAGCAGGATGTGTATACACCTGCTGCTAGTTGTGTAGAGCATGTCACAGTGAGTATTTCAATGTATTTAATCCAAAAAAAGCAATCAAAGAAGAAATTAATAGAAAAAGCAAATTCTGTATCTTCCCAACCAGTCATAATGAAAAATCGACACTGTTGACAAAATTGTACCTTACACAAATGAATCTGCCACACCTACATAAAATGAGCATAGGCCACAAATAAATGCATTTGATAAAGTGAAAAATTGAGAAGTAGAATACAGTGGACCCTTGTTTTTCGTAATTAATCCGTTCCAGAGAGTGTGACTAATACCGAAATTGATGATTTAGGAAACCATTTTCCCTATAAGAAATAATGTAAATCCAGTTAATCTGTTCCAGACACCCAAAAGTATTAAAGCAAAATAATATTTTTACATAAAATATACATTTACCTACAATGGTACCATATGGTACAATATACCATATAGTACATTGTACCACATGGTACAGGGTACAGGGACGCTAATGGAAATAAGTCTGACATTTTTTGGTTATCCTAGGTTCTCCAAACATATGCTGCTATGTATGAAAATCTATGTAATTTTATTTGTGTATTCCTAAATAAACTTACGATGCCACATGTGCTTGAGTAAGTTTATTCAGGTGTACACAAATACGTACAGTTACATAGATTATCATACATTGCAGCATATGCATAAAATCCTAGGATAACCCAGAAAAGTCAGGGTGAATTATTTCCATAGGGATCCCTGTATCTATACCATATGGTGTCCTGTACCATATAGTACCCTGTACCATATGGTACCCTGCACCATATGGTACCCTGCACCATATGGTACCCTGCACCATATGGTACCCTGCACCATATGGTACCCTGCACCATATGGTATCCTGTACCATATGGTACCCTATACCATATAGTACAATGTACCATACGGTACCCTGTAACATATGATACCATGTACCATATGGTCAGTAGGTGTTGATGCCACCAGACACCAGCCAAGGTGAGTGAGTGACGACGCAAGCTATCTAGTGACTCCGCAGTTTCCAAGACAAAGCGCTTTGTCATTCACCTCAAGTAACATGTCGAGTGGCTGTACATTTGTAAATATATAATACAGGTCTGCCATCACAAATCCGGTAATCAGTTATTCGGTTCCTTCAGTTATTCGGCAAATTTCCAGGGTCGCCACACCAACCTGCTGGTACTGTTTGGTGGCGCTACTTGCTGCATAAGTCATTCCAATTTCTTTTTCTCCATTTATTGTTATAACCTGCTTACTTTTAGCTCTAGCCATGGTTCCAATGAATACAAGTAATGCTTCTCATTATGTAAAGCACCAACACAGTACATTATCCATTAAAGATAAGGTGGCTTTGAAGCCACTGTTGGTTGCCATGAGCTCAGTCTCATGATGCAGAATATGCTTCATTATTACGCTAATATCAACACTACAGCTTATTTGCCTATCATAATTGATCTAATATGACATAATAAACAATATAAATAACATAAAACATGTTAAATACTCCAGAATAAATAATATTTGGCATAATACCAAGCAGTTCGACGGAGGTATGAAGAGGATATGGTATACAAATACCATTCTCCTATCCCTGTCTTGGGGGCTTATATTAGAGAAAACGGAGTGTAGCACAGGCTAACTGTGATATACACTCGTACTGCACCATAAACCTGAAACAAAAAAGTTATTTTCTCTATATAGATTATCACACATAGCAGCATATGTGTAGAAAACCTAGGATAACCCAAAAAAGTCAACGTGGCTTATTTCTAGTACTTATCTTGGGTTAGCCTATATATGATTTTTGGTAAATACAGTGGACCCCCACATAACGATCACCTCCGAATGCGACCAATTATGTAAGTGTATTTATGTAAGTGCATTTGTACGTGTATGTTTGGGGGTCTGAAATGGACTAATCTACTTCACAATATTCCTTATGGGAACAAATTCGGTCAGTACTGGCACCTGAACATACTTCTGGAGTGAAAAAATATAGTTAACCGGGGGTCCACTGTATTTGATTCCCAGACAGGGTAGAAACATTAGGCGTGTTTCTTTACACCTGCTGTCTATGTTTACCCATCAGTAAATGGTACGGTACCTTGGTGTTAGCCGACTAGTGTGGGTGTTATCCTGGGACACTGACCAAATTTTCTTGAAATACTCTGCATAACAAGCGGCTTTCTATATAGTAGTATGTCACTGATGCCAGTTAGGCCTGTATATCTTGTACATGCACATGTAGTAAATAAAGATATTATTATTATTATTATTATTATTATTATTATTATTACTATTATTATTATTATTATTATATTTTCTCAGTTGTTTGTTGGGTTATCTTATTGAAACTTGGGCAATGTATGATGGAAAGATACTTTCTTAACGTACACCAAAAATGAAAGAAATCAGACCATAAATAGCGGAGTTCACTTCTCAGCCATTAGCAGCCGCTTAGCAGTATATTTTTGTATGGTTTTTATGGTTATATTCTCATTTGATAAATGAAAGATATGTTACAGAAATAGATATGATTTTGATTGCTTTCATGATGAAAAGTACCTGAAATTGCGCTCACAGTAGCGAAAATGTCCTATTCTTTAGCGAAGCTCAAGAGTAAACAAATGACATCACCGTCCAATACCTTTCCGCCTGCCAGTCCAAATTCCAATACGGAGTCAAGAATGGGTTGACATTATTTATACAATTATTACAATAATGCAGCAGTCTGTATAACAGTAAATCTATTTTTTTGTGAATAAAAATTCCAAATGGTAAGCAAGAGTAATATAAGGGGCCTGTAGCCATGACTAATGAACAGAGAAAATGTTATTTTAGTGCCAGGTATGTCTACATTGTTTATTCTGGACCCTGTTTTGAAATTGACATCTGTTGAAATTTTTGTGAAATTGGCCAAATTGCCAATTTCTGACCACTTTAATGGGTAGTTGAAATAAGTGAATTGGCAGTTTCTTGTACTCAGTTGACAGACTAGAAGTAAATAAGTTTATTCAGGTATACACAATTACAGTTACATAGATTATCATATATAGCAGTGTATGTATAGAGAACCTAGGATAACCCAGAAAAGTCAGACAAAGTGACATATTTCCAGTACCTGGCTTGGGCTTGCCATATATGATTTTTGGTAAATATCTTTTTTTCTCTCGGTTGTTTGTTGGGCTATCTTATTGAAACTTGGGCAATGTATGGTGGAAAGATGCTTCTTAACATACAACAAAAATAAAAAAGACGGACGATAAATAAGGGAGTTCACTTCTCAGCCATTAGCCGCCTCTTTCCAGTATATTTTCGT